TTAGAATATGTAAATATTGTATATAAGCAAGCATGTGTCAGAGTTATGAACTATCTACCTGGCTTTGTGCATATTAAATATGAAACCTAAAGATAAAAGGGCTGTGCACTTAGGAAGATTATGGTGTTTGGGGAACTTCTAGGTAAACAGAAATTTACAAACAGGTAAATGAAGGTTTGGAGAGAGAAACGGACTTTACTGAAGTTATACGCTAAGTCAGGGTTGTGTCCCTGAGATCCTGGTAGCACCAGATTATAGACTTCTTACCTGTTGAATTGCTTCTGTTTTTGTTGATATATGGCATTATATTTATTCTGCATACTCTTCCATTGTTCACTCATTCATTCCTTCAGTAACTAATTGCTTCCTAGTTCCAGTTTCCTAATTACTGAGACAAAACTTCTTGTTCTCATAGTGCTTATGATTTTATAGAAAAAGAAAAACAACACTTCATAGACTGTTGTGAGCATTAAATGGATTTTTTCATCTCAAACACAATCTATACGAAGTCCATTATCATCTTTATTTTATAGAAGATGACACCAAATATACAAAGAGGATAGTATAGCTAGAAAGTGATCCAATCTAGGCAATCAAGCCTGAATACCACATACAAAGTGGAAATCCCTTGCCAAAACTGGTATAAGGACTGAAGTATACAAGACAGCAATGGCAAAAAGACCAGTTGGGCTGCTAGAGAATGTTGGCAGCCTTTAAAGGGCCTTGGGCAATAATTTGAACATGCTCATAAGTGTCCATTAAACTGCAGCATTCATTAAAAAAGTGGATACAATATGATCCTGGTAACATGTGAATGCCATCTGAATTTTCCATTAACCTTTGCAGAGTTGCTTTTCTGTTATTTCATTGAGAAGAATAATGCCTATTTGTTATCCCAAGGAGTCAGTGTAAGGCAGATGGAAACCCTTTGCAAATTCAGTTTTTTTTTTTTTTTTAAAGATTTATTTATTTGTGCATCCAGAACTGGAGTATAGGCCAGAAGTGCAGGAGCAGATTCACCAGAGACAGTGGTGAGCAGGGCAGGCAGATTGACAAGGACATTGCTGAGGGGAGCAGCGACCCCAGGAGAGGTCTGCTGTGCCAGTTGGGTCACCTCTGGGGCAGGTGTGGATCGAACTCATGCTTAAGTGGCTTTAGCTTCTTAGTGCTGTGTTTTAACCTGCTGCATCACCAGGGAGGACCTGCAAATTGAGTTTTAAGTCTATGCTGCATGGTTGCTAGTTACCTCCGTCTCCGTATAAGGGTTTTCTCCTTTATATATATACACACACACACATTTCCCAGTGTGTGTGTGTGTGTGTGTGTGTGTGTATGTGCACCAAGCCATTCTTGGATGGAAGAATGGAAGTCTGGTTTATAAAGAAATCAGTTAGGTGTCTTTTTTTTTTTTATTTTTTTTTTTTTTTGGTCCTGACACCATATTGTCTCATTTGTCTCATGTTTTCTTGAGCCTTTAAGATATATAAGTAATCTGCAAAATGTTCTTTAAACATGGAATGGTAGTAAATGTTAAGGCTCTACAGCTCTGTAATGCTAATAGAAGTGTAGACACCTTGAAAAAAAATGATGAAAGACTGAAGCAAAATCAATCATGCTCCAGGGGTTCATTGGGTCTAGCCACCAGACATCTAACTCTGGCATAGTTGTGCCTGTTGAGTAAGCAAAGGCACACTGATGAGAAACATGGCGCCTATTTCTTCTAATTTGAATGTCCCTGTCTTCATATGTTGAGAAAAGTTATTTTGTCTGCTTCAATGGGGAGATTTCTCAGCATATCTAGGCATCATTAGCTTGGTGAACCACATGTTGTAATGAGTATTTAAATGAGTATTTACAGATTTGTTTGTCATTGAATTCTGAACATTTCAAGCCCTGGGGCCACATCACTACATTTGTAGATACATGTACTTTACATGATGCTTGGGAAATAATATGTGAACTACCAATATTTGATAAATGTTTGAAAGGTCTTTGTATAATTCAAAATTCATTGTGCAGTTGATTTTTCAAAAGGTGCAATTATAATCCCTGGCAGATCAAACTTAGAAGCTTCTAACAGCACCTGGACCATCCATCATTGTAGGACTTAGACTAGGATTCTCATCATAAGAAATGAGAATAGCTTTTAAAGTTATTTAATTTTACCAGATGTGTTTAGAAATTTCCATTTTGTAATGAAATAAATCCCAGTCAGAGATACATTTTCTTTTCATTTCCATTTTATGAAAAACATATTTCATAGAAAATTTGCATATTCAACTAAAGTACTATTCTGGTAATTTTTCCCTCTTAATATAGTGTTGGTTTTATTTTCTATTAAGGGAGGGATCAGCACTTCTTTTTTTACAGGGTGAGATGTAAATGACTTGGGCTGTGCAATGTATGCAGCAACTACTCGATTCTGTTGCTGCTACAGACAGGGTACACACAGTAGGCACAGTTTGCTCTCAAGCAAGAAGTCTGCCCCAACCTGTTTAAAGAATCCTGCCCCAGGGTTTCCCATAGAAGCCCTGTTATCATTCTAATGCTATATAATAACAGAACACTAAAGAGTTTTGTTCTCAATATATATGAAGTTTATTCAATATTAGACTTTTTTTTTTATATTTTTGATAGGTAAAAATAGCATTTTTCTTATGGTTAAGCAAAACTAAAAATAAATGTTATTAGTTTTCACACAACATACCCTCATCATATCCTTGGCTTTTAATCCAGTGTCCCTTCTCCGGAGTGGGGTTTATCAGGGCTATGTGGCATAATCAGCTGAGTGTGTGCTGGTGAAGACAGGCTTCATGGTGTCAGGAATCACCAAATTAGAAGTAAGCTGTACATCTGAGTAGCTTAGAGTAACTTAATTTATACTGTACTACAGAGCTTAGTGGGTACGGATCCTGGAATTTAGTCTAATCCTTCTGTATTCTAAGGCCATACACTATTACCCCTAAATATGATTTGAATTCCAAGTGAGTCAGATTTCAATAAAGTGATTTTGTTTTTAGTGTAGTTTGGCCTACCACACATTCCTCTAAACTTGGAGTCTGCAGTGACAGGCCTGTTCTTGTACATAAAGTTTTATTAAAACATAGTGTTCATTTATTCCCTATTTAACTTTTTCTTTTATTATTATTTTTTTAAATATTTATTTATTTATTAACACAGAACTGGGGTACAGGCCAGAGAGGTACAAAGGCAGTGAGAGTATTCCCCAGAGACAGAGTGGGAGCAGAACAGGCCGACTGGTGAAGTACACCGCTGAGAGGTGCAGTGGGTAGGTCAGGAGAGGTCTGCTTTGCCATGTGTGGATCATCTCCAGGGCTGGTGTTCTAACTCATGCTGAAGTGGCTTTAGTTTCTTAGTGCTGTGCTTTAACCCGCTGCACCACCAGGAAGTGCCCCGTATGTAACTTTTAATTGCAGTGGCAGACTTGACTGACTGTGACATAGACTTAAAGCCTGCACATGTTAAAACATTTGCTATATGGTCCTTAAGAAATGAAATGTGCTAACTCATGCACACGGATGAAGTAAAATTCATTAGTTTTATGAGGAGTGAACCAACTATATAACCTGTGAATCAAAACAAACCTATGTACTTTTGCAAAGAAAAATGTTAAAACACAGCTGACTCTTGTGCTGATTTGAAGGCATGTATGCTACCAGTAGCAGAGTTGAATAGCTATAACAGACCTCCTAGCCTGTAAAGCCTAAATTATTTACTTTGTGACTTTCCAAGAAAACATGCACCAATCCCTGTTCATAAAATCATTAATAGGTTATATACCTTTGATTTTTTGGTCTAGTCTCCTTATTTTGTAAATAGGAAAACTAAAGCCTAGTAGAACCTTGTCCAAAGTCACACTAGTTTATAGCCTTGATTCAGTGCATGAAATTGTCTGTTCCTAAGTGCCTCCTCATCGAAATTTAGCTGAAGTTTTTCCTTTTCTCTTCCCACACTCTGCAGTCCCATTCTAGATAATGTGTTCCTTCTCCATGAGGGTTTTTAGTCCCTGGACTCAAAGTATCTGAAATTGATCCTGGATCTGTCACTTTATAGCTGTTCACAAAATTACAATTGAAACAAAATGGAGCCCTTCCTGATAGAGCAGCTGGTTAAAGCACAGCACTAAGAAGCTAAAGCCACTTCCGTGTGAGTTCAATCCCCGCCCACCCAGGAGGTGACTCACATGGCGTGGCAGACCTCTCCTGACCCACGGGCTGCTCCTCTCAGCAGTGTACTTTTTCAGTCAGCCTGTTCTGTGCCCCACTCTGCCTCTGGTGAATCCTCTTACCCCTCTGCACGTCTGGCCTGTACCCCAGTTCTGTATGCATAAATAAATAAATAAATCTTAAAAAAAAAGTCATGTTAGTGAAATAAAGCAGAGATTATTTAATAATCAGGTTCCTTTCATTTTTTTTCATGATCAGACTATACAAACAAATTGGGAGATTGACAGATGAGAGGATCTTGTTTAGTTCTGTAGACATTCTCCATCACTTGCTCTTCCAGTTTGCTGGTGTATATCTTCTCTGAGAAGGGTTATGGCTCTGCCCTTAATAGCTCTGTTATCTTAGATAGGATTCAGTCATCTCAGAGCTGAGCCTCCATGTGCTATCTGGTAAAATGCACCTGAGCCTCTCCTCATGCCTTGTGAGGATTAATTAATTAACTTTTGTAAAATGCCTAAGAACTTGCAGCTCTAAAATGTTAGTTTCTTTCCTTGCCTTTCATTTCCAGAAGTTTTCTTGTTAGTAATCAACAATACGAACCATAGGAAATTTTATTTTTCTTTCTTTTTCTATAAAAACTCTCAGAATATAACACCTCAGAGTGAAGTTTATGTTTTGGCTGGCACAGACTAGCCCCCAAGGTAAAATGGAAAAGGGATGCCTTTACGTCTTTACTGTGAATGGGATGCAAAGTGATAAACCTGACTGTTGAACATAGAATGCTTGACCGTTTTTCTTTTTATTTGATTGTAGTATAAACAAGAGGGTAGCCAGGTAAAGAGCTATTGCCACGAGACAATGCCTGGATGGGTGCATGACGTTCTGGGTCGGAACTGGGCTTGTTTCACCGGAAGAAAGGTGGGAATGACCTCAGAGAATGTGAACGTGAACACAGCACATCCTGACACTCTCCAGGAAAAGTGAGTTGTCACAAATGGAAAATTTATTTAGCTATTTCATATAATATGTATCAAGTATGTGTCTATACTAATTCTCTAAATTTTGTTTTGATTGTATAAAATTTATCTGACTTAGAAACATTAGCCATGATATTATAACATGTTGCAACATAGTCCTTGTAGAGACTTGTGTTTAGGTGGCAAAAAGTACAAGCAGTGATCTTTGAACACAAATTTTAAACAAGGCAACATATTGCTGAAATTAAACAATATTTATATATTGTATTGGGTTGCTAGCAAAGTACCACAGACTTATGATTTAACCAACAAAAATTTTAATCACTTTTCTGGAAGCTAAAATCGAGGTGTCAGCAGATTTGGTTTCTGCTGAAGTTTCTCCTTGACTTGTAGATGGTCCTCTTTCACCACGTCCTTACATGGTCCTAATTGTGTCCTAATCTCTTTCTTATAAGAACACCAGTCTTTAAACTAGGACCCACCCACTTTACCTCATTGTACCTTAATCTCCCTCTATAAAAGCCCTGCCACCAAATTTAGTCACTTTCTGAGGAACTGGAGGTTAGAACTTGAACTTTTGAATTTTGGGATGACCCAATTCAGCTTTGAGAATTTTGGTTACTTTTTGTTTAGTTAGCTTCACTTTGAATAACTGTGATCCACACAAACAAGAGACACAAGAGACTTAAAACTTAATTTTTGGGGAAAAGGTAAACATTGCTAGCACTGATGCCTGTTTTATTTATTTGTGAAACTGGAAAAAAAATGTCACAGTGGCTGTGAACAACTCTGCAACAAACTGATGGAGGAATTGTGTTTCAAGAGGACAAGTGATATCTCTGGAGAAGTGCTAACTAAAACGAAGCTAATTCATCCCGTCCATTTTCAACTTAAATTTAAAATTACTTTTTTTGTCTTGATCCTTAAGCAACACATTTCCTATTAAGCCATTCCATTTGTACCCTGTCCTTTAGAATACATTATGTACTGTTGTTCCACTTTGGTATTTCAAACTTTGCCTTATTTAGTGGATTATCTACTAACTGGAGTGCTCAGAACCCATGTTGTCTGACCTGTAAAGTGAGTGTTTAGGATCAGATTGCCTTCAGGGTCTCTTTCTGTCTTAGTAAGCTATTTCCCATGTTAAGACATCTTAACTCTGATCTTCTTGGATCTCCAAACTACCTTGTCATCACTGATACATATAGCAGCACGTGATGCTTCACCAGAGGTTACAGCCATGAGAAGTAGGGCGAGTAACTGCTTCTCAAATACTTCTAGTCAATGAAACAGTGACTCTTCCTGGAAAACATTATTTCAAGATTAACATTTGTCTATTGAACAATTAACTTGTTTTGTAACTTCTTGTTGTTGGGTAAGTAATATCAAAAATATGATAAAGATTTATAATATATTTAGTGAAGGTACATCTCTGGCTTTCCACTTTACAAGTGGGAAAGAACTTCGATGAAAAACATAAATGTGGTCATGCATTTTCACTATTCTCAGTGTTCCCAGGTACTTTGACTATATCTAAATATTCTTTTCTAAACATTAAATTAAAAATGTGGTGAATTATGCCTAATATGTTGTTCAGGTTTGGTATATCTTCCTTGCATAATTGAATATTAACAGGAGTCCACACATCAGCCACCTCATCTTTTTTTTTATAATAATTTATTTTTACATATTTATGTGCATTTTTCCATCTCAATTGCAATTCCCTTGGGTGTCCCATCATCAAACATCCACCTCATTTTTTTAGAATTTTTTAAATCTTTTTGGAGGAAATAACATGGTTAAGTTCAATAATTCTTAATATCAGGCACATAGGTGTGGTGCAGATTTGTATTAAATGATAATCAACTACCTCATTTTTTTGCTTTGTAAACATGTTTGTTAGGTTTATTTACATATGTATCTAAGCAATTGATGTCATATAAATCAGTGCTTTTCAAATTTTAATGTGTTGTGAATCATTTGGGGAATATTGTTAAAATATAGATTCTGATTCATGTGATCTGAGTTGGGTACTTAAAGTCTACATTTCCAGCAAGATTCCAGGTGTTGCTGCTCATACTGATTCAAGAAGCACATTTTGTATATCAAGGGTATAAACAAGAATACCATATGAAATAATTAATTTTTGCATAATGCAGATTTAAAATTATCTATGTATACATATATATATATATGGTACACTATATGATACTTCATCAGAGTTATAATACTTGCCACATTATATTTATATTGTATATGGTTTCTGCTTCCCTCCCCTTTATTTTCATTACAAAAATTTAAAGATGTTTTCTAGAAATTACAGGGTTTTGTGGGAAGGTGGTGATTTGATGCCATTTCTCAGAGATAACCATGGCTGTTATTTTAAAAACATACTAATAGTCTGAAGTATATAAGTACATATATACTTAGAAAAATTGGTTAATCTTGTATTAATTTATTTGATATCTTGGATTTTTACTTAATAGAGTTGAACATGCTTCCATATGGTTAATAACTTACATTTTTACTGAATAGGCAATATGAATGAAGTACCATTATTTATTTAGATAACTCTTTTCTTAGGACATTATTTAACATGTTTATAATCTATGCTTGCTGTAAAAATAGTTTCATTGAACATTCTTGTTCATAACTTAGTGAACATAAACTGTTATTTTCATAGGAGAGAGTCCCATTCTAGGCTATTGATATATTTGCTTCCCTGATAGATTAGACCACTTTGCATTTAGGCCCAGGTTATAAGACTGCCTGTCTTAATGTGGTCTATTTGCATCAGTAAAGAGTCTACCTGTAACTATCCTACTTTTATAACAGGTATTCTAACAGGCTCTATAAATATAACCCCAATTTTGTGAATGCCATTAATACTATTCAGAAGTCTTGGACTGCAACCACATACCCGGAATATGAGACTCTAACCCTGAGAGAGATGATTAGGAGAAGTGGTGGCCAAAACCGAAGAACCCCAAGGTAATATAGCATATTTATTTTCACTGGTAGAAATATTTTATCCAATGCCCTCTGCCTTTCCTTCCAATCAGCTGCTCCTAGGATGCCCACCATTTTGTTGGTTATCCCAAATTAAACTTTTATGTTAACATTTTTCTGACCATTCCCCAGTCCTAGTCATATATAATTTTAGTCAGATATAATTCTAATGCTTTCCCAGTCCAATGTATGGGTTTTACTTCCACCGCATCTGCCACTACTCCCTTCTCCATTGTCAGCCTCCTCCCTCCTATCTTTTTGGTTTTTTTTTATCCTTGTTCACATTCTTGGTACTTTATGAAATACTGTCTACTTCATGTTCCTATATTCAGCTTTGTGTTCTATCTAATGTTTAAAGAATAAAGATAGTCTCGTAACTAAAACCATCTAAATATGACTAGCTATATCTACTACCATGACCTGCTTTCAAACAATGTGACACTAAACACTTTCATTTTTCCTCCACTTATGCCACATTCTTTGTTTCAAATAGGTCTCATTTTGCCTACAATAATGATCAGTTTGCTGCCTATACATTCTCAAAATCCTCTCTATTTTGGATTCCAACAACAACAAATATCCTGTATTTGTCAACATACCACTGTCACTTTGTCAGTTGCCTTACTACCTCTTGTCTAATTTCTTTTTCAATCTAAATGAAATCTTTTAAAAAACTATGAAGGGACCGAGATAAAGTGTTCAGTAAAACACCCAAAATACCAGGCAGAGGCTGTGTCATTAGCTTTGAGTTTAGAGAGACTGGGGCTCTTATTTGAAGATTTGAGGTCACATATTACTGCTTTGTCATGTATCATGTGCCATGATCCCAAGAGACTCATATATTTTGCAGTTTTTCCTACTGCACCCAAGCACCTTTGTCTTGGAGTAGGAATAGCTCTACGGAGAGATGCTTTTAAGGCTGAGGCTCCATGAAGATTTTAAGATGAAATGGAATTAACTGAAATAGGAGCTATTGAAGCAGAAGTGTGGTCTTACTGACTGGTTTTCAGTAGCATTTTTCTGTTAGCATCCATAACAGAAACTGAGGGACTCTTAACTTGAGATTTAGGGAGCCTGAAGCTGCTGACATTTTAGATGAAATTTGTTTATGGACTTCTCTGAGTCCAGACCTTTCACCAAATTCTTAAAAAATCTTGACACAGATAATTAGGGTAACTCCCACATTCCTCTTTCATGCACTTCATTTTTATGCCCTTGAGCTGTGGTTGTCCTGTTTTTGCATGTCTGTGAACATCACTGAGAAATGCTATGCCTTAATAGTAGAAAAGAGGAAGTTAACATTTCTCATTCCCTCTTTTGTGCTAGTCACTTAAATGTTCATTAGCATCTTGTTTAGTCCTGTTAATGACAGGGAGGATGAGGATGGTAGTAGACCTAACAGTAGCTGCTATTTATGAAGAGCTTATCAGCAATCGCTACTGTTCTAAATAAACTCTTACTGATCATCGCATTGCCTTTTCATAACAGTCCTTTGAATAGTGATATGATTTATCCATTTTAATAGGAGTCAATTATAGTTTGTTATGTCTCTTAACGCTTAATGGGAGATATGTTCAAACCCTCCATATTAATCTCTGTCACATACAGCTTATAGTAAAGTTCCTGCTAGCTTAAGTAATGACTTAATGAAAAATTAATTAATATTTCTGTATGTAATGTGTTACGTATTTTGATTTTTCAAGATCATAATTGCTATTCATGAGTTGATTTTTGTTTATTTTATAATTTTTTTTCCTACTGTTACATCTTACTTTCATTTTGTCCTGGCATAACCTGGATGATCATACTACCTCACTTTCATCACCATCTTCTGAGTCAGCTATCTGTAATTCTGTTTTCTCTGTCCTTTTCAGCTCTTCTTCAACTTATCATGTCTTCATTCTTAACCAAAATCTGTCAAAATTAAGAGAATACAGCTGAAAATAGCTTTCAGTATGCACTAATGAACAGTGTCATTTCAAAGGGAACAATTATTATATCTTGAAGAAGTGGATAATGAAAGTCATTTATGCAACCAGTTGTACAATTGACACAATGTATAATATTATACACATTATTGTTTAATAGACACACTGAAATACCAGTGGGACATGTGCTCTTTGTGTCTGAATATGGTGCCTAGCTAGCCAGGTATTTGAAATCACAGATTAGAGGTTAGGAAATCATTCTCAAAGGAATGACTATAAGCAATGATAAATGTATATTTCTGTTCTAGAGCCAAACCTGCACCACTGACTGCTGAAATACAGGAAAAGAGCTCACGTTTGCCAAGGTCTTGGGACTGGAGAGATGTTCATGGCACCAATTTTGTTAGCCCTGTTCGAAATCAAGGTAAAAAAAAAAAGACTTTTAATTAATTTATTTTGAAGTATTTATTGAGACATTATTATGTTCCAGTCTCTGGGGTAGTTTTTGGGAATACAGAGATAAAATGGGGATGATATACTTTAGTGAAGAAATGGAGAACAGCCCTCCTAGGTGGCTCAAAGGGTTATATTGCAGCACTGTAAGCTTGCCACAGCAGCTTCACTGTGAGTTTTATCCCCAGTCCTGAAGGTGATCCACATGGTGCAGCAAACCTTTCCTGTCTTGTCTGCTGCTCTCTTCAGCAGTGTACTTCATGATATGCCTACCCTGCTCCCTACTCTGTCTCATGCAAGGAGTCTTCCTCAAGAATGCAAACAAACAAACAAAAAAACTAATTTGAAGGGATGTATGTACTCCTATGTTCACCACAGCCCTATTTACAGCCAAATTATGGAGAAATTTAAGTGCCTAAGGACAGAAGACATACTTGGAATTACATTCAGTGGGCTACTACTTAGCTATATAAAAAATGGTGAACACTGGCACACTGGCCATTCGATATAACATAGATGGAACTGGAGAGAATAAAGCTAAGTGAAGCAGATCAGAAGGATACCAAATGGTTTCAGTAATATGTAGAGTATTTTTTTTTTAAGATTTACTTATTCATACAGAACTGGGGTACAGGCCAGAGATGCGGAGGGTGAGAGGATTCACCAGAGACAGAGTGGGGTACAGAACAGGTAGATTGATGAAGTACACTGCTGAGGGCAGCAGCGGGCAGGTCAGGAGAGGTCTGCCACACCATGTGGATCTCCTCTGGGGCAGGCGGGAATCGAACTCATGCGAAAGTGGCTTAAGCTTCTTAGTGCTGTGCTTCTTAGTGCTTGCTTAGTGCTGCGCCACCAGGGAGGGCCCCAATATATAGACTATTAAAAAAACAAAACAAAGGGTTAGACAAAACAAAACCATAATAACAAACTCTTGACATCTGACTGCAAAATAGAGGCAACCAGATGAGGAGGTAATGGTGTGGGAGTGGGTGGGCAAGGGGTGTCTATAGAGCATGGTAGATCATTACTAGAGCTTTGGTGGTGAGCATGGTGAGAAAACATAACATTTATGGAGTTTATAACCTATAACCCCTAAAACAAAATGACGTAAACCAACTTTAACTTCAGTGAATATTATCTGGAAGGAAAAAAGAGAGAGAATCTACAGGGCCCAGGAATTTTTTCTTTGGCAATGGACGTTAATAATCCATGTCAGTTCTTGGTGATCTCTGCAACTGAGTAAAGCATTTCAGCAGTGTCCTTCTAAATAGATATTTCAATTAGCTAGTGAAATTGTTAAGGAAATATGATAAATTTGGTTGTAATCCTAATAAGAAAGATTTGAGCAGAAAGAAAGAATCACACTCAATTAAAATTGTCTCCTTCGTACGTTGGTTTGCTGAAATTCGTTTTTTGTCCCACCACTCCTAACTTCATTTGGTCTCTTTATTTATTGATTTGTTTATTTATTTTAAGACTGACTTAATTACTATAAGAATCCAAGAAGTGGATATTTAAAATTTTTGGTAAATTTTTGTGCAGCATAAGGACTTTTCCTTTCATTATAACTTAGAATGTGACCTATTTTGTTAGTATTAACCTATGTTAACAAATCAGGCGTAGGGGACATAGTCCTTGTTTCCCAAATACATCACTATTATTCTTTTTACCAGTTATTTTCAGAAATTTGATACAATATGGGATTTAATAACTCAGCTAGTAGCACTCAAAGGCAAATTATCTTGGTGTACTAAATTTTAGTCAACAATGAATTGTAAAATAATTTATGCAATATTTAGGTTTATGACTTTAAGGTCACTTTCAAGATAAATATAGTATAATTGCTACCATAAAATTGCTGTTTGGAAACATTTTGATCAGCACCTTCTAAAGGAATATAATGTTAGAGCTCTTCTAAGGGATTATAATGAAATAGTATCCAAAGAGAAATTGTTCTCTTTTCCAAAATTTTTGGTTATAATTAGCCTCTCTCACTTCTCATCCATAACCAAACCTTTGATTTGTTCTTCGGTGAATTCTTGCAGAATATTCAAGGTATAGAGCTGGAGAGGTATTTACAGCAGTCAGTCAGCAAGGTGCCTATTTTCCATCTGACATGAAAGGTCTCTTCTGTCTCTTCTCTGTATTTCCTTTGTACTAGTTATACTGGGACTCTTAGACTCTGCAAAGAATGGGTCCTGCAATTCATTCATACTTTTTTTTTTTTTCCCTTGGGAAGGATATTGTTGCAAAGCTGGTTTAGTAATGAGAAAACTTTTAATATAATTGAGAAGTAAATGGAAAATGAAATTAAAAGGTTATTGTTAAAGAAGAGATTAAAATGTCTTACGTTGTCATATATATTTTCTGTGCTTATTTGAAAGCAGCAAGTAGGTAATGCATGTCAAAAGTTGATAGTGAGGGCCTTGGGACATGATTTCTTCTGCCATTTTTGTAGTGTTGTAGAACATTTAACAAGTGTTTGGATTTTATTTTTATTGACTAAGGATATAAACACTAATGTACCATGGTTCTTGTCCTAAAGACATACAACTAATAAGGCCTGCAAGGAAAACATTAAAATACCTCTTTAGTAAAATAAAAGTAATAATTAATTGGAAGCATAGGAAATATAAAAAATAATTGGGAACATAGGAAAAGGTCAAAAGAAAAACTTCTATTTACTTTCCATAAGTATGATTGGTGATAAGACAGCAAGCAGTTCAGGGAGAGGAATTTAGATTTCCTTAAAGCCAAATTCTTTGACACAGGTTTTATTGTGGTTTAGTAAAAACTGTTATTGTCTCATTGTTTCATATTCCTTTATGTTCTATGCTTTGTACAACCATGGACAATTTAACAAGAGAGCACTTTGATCGATTAATTGCTTTTTCATTGATCCCTCATCTCTGTATCTTGTCAGGTACTCAAGAAAATAATGTACTTGTGGTTCCTCTTTTGACTTCCTTTTGGTTTTCTGCACTTTAACTTGGGAATTTTTGTTTTTTCATTTCCTGATAACTGACTTAATTGGAAATTTTAAGAACAACAATGTTGTATGTAATCCAGAATTCAGAATTAGACACAGTTAAAGGGAACTCCCAGCTTTTTTTCTGTTTGGAGACCAAATCACGAACAATGAAAAAAGAAACATTGGAAGGACAAATTAGGTTTTGTCTTTACACTTGACAAAAAACAGCTTTAAGCACTAGACTTATGGGTAGATTTACTTTAAGTGTGAGGAAAGATGGGAGATTGGAAGACAGACTTTCTTGGTTGTTCTCCTAGCTATGCTTCTTTACTTATTGTCTCTCAGGAAAAAAGGAGAGTTTTCCTCAATATCACAGTAATGAGGAAATCTAGTGCATTTTTCTAATGTTCACAATCTAGTTCACTGAAGCCTTTGTTCTAAACTTTGTTTTCACCATTACAGCTGGAAGTCAGAAAGAAACCTTCATTCCAGCCCATTTATCTGACACACAAGATAAAAAGAAACGCCAAAAATGTCAAGTGACTTTCTCAGGGTCGACAACTGAGTGCCAAAGCAAGAGGGAGAGGGAAAAGAAAAAAAATGCTGACTCCTTACTTCCTAGTTCTGTGTATCCTCCACTTTTGGAGGGTGAAGCTGAATTAGTTAAGCCTTGTGAAAACCACATTCTCTATCTGAGTTTTTGGAAATTCAATTACTGCAGAGCTCCTGTGAGCCTAGAGCTGCTTGCCTGTTGGCCCTAAGTGATAATGGTTCTTCTGAGACCTGGAATCTGGCCTTTCCTTTTTCTAATAGGTATTAATCATGTTGGCAATGTACACATTCTTGTGAGAAGTTGCAGACTTGAGGAAGTCTGTCTCCTTTCCTCATTGTTGTAATTTCTTGTACAAAACATATGCCATGTCCTTGTACACATGTCCTTTAAAAGTGCTGGTATCCAAAATAGAGTTTGGATATGTTATTTATTGTAAAGTCCTTGTGTAGCAGGACAGGAATACTGACTTTTGGCCATTTACCATAGCTTTTCGAGTTCTTTGACATGCCATCATTTGAAAGAAGGGTCCTAAAATTAAAAGTATTTGATGGTTTTGAAAACAAAATGCACAAGTTAGTTTTGGTCTCTCTAGTTAATTATTTGGCAGGGAAAGAAAATCTGTTTTTTTCAAAGTAGATATAGACCTCTGAAGGAGGAGGATACTGTCACATTAGGGCCACTGAGGCATAACTCCTTCCCTCTATCAGCTGTATGACCTTGAACAGGACACCACTTCCTTTAGAATCTCAGTACACACATTATCAAGTGAGTAGGTTGTACACTAGATGAATTTCAAGGAGCCCCCCTTCCAAGAGTTTTTCTTGTTGTCATTCCCACTAACATTTTTTTCACCCCTTTGTTATTTTCTTCCTCTCATCCCTCTCTTAGTGTCAGGAGCCTCACTTCATTTATTAGTGTGTTCTAGTTTTTCTAAGTATGTTACTTGAATCATTCACTATGTAAATAACCAATATTCATTTTTGACTCAGTCATTCTGACTTGCTTTACTATAAATAACTCCCTTGCTCTATTTTACTGTAAATGTAACATTTTATCTTTACTTATGTTTGAATAATATTCCAATGTACAAAGTTTTATTTATTTATTTATTTTTAATTCAGTTCTTTATCAGTGGGCACTTAAGCACATTTTTTTTTCTTTTTTATAATTTAGATGGCCCCTCAATAGCAAAAACAATATATTATATGGATAAATGAGATGCTGAAGAGGAGAATTGTATAGAACATCAGAAAAAGTAGCAGTTAAGGAACAGTAGGATTCTGCTAGACCTTAAGTTCAGGTCTTGGAGTTATTGTTGAACAACTTAGGGAAGACTGGTATTTAGGTCTATACTTCTGCCTCCATTGTAACTTAGAAACAATTTTGGTTCTTTCCATTGAAGTCACTTTCTTTCCTGGATGTAAGTACATATCCATTCTTATAAGTTGACTCTTCTTTCTACAGACATGTACTTGAGTTTCTTCTTTGCATAAAGCACCAGATGAAAAACAAAACAAAAATTTTGTGAACACTTTATTTTGAATAAAACAATGTAAGGAATTCAAAGAGAATTAAGAATGATGCAGACTGACCATAGACGATCCTGATATGCTCTTGCATTGAGAATTTAAAACAACAGCTGGGCAATAGGTTAAATGCATATTGTTCTTTTGATTACTTTTCTTATGGAAGGCAGTTACTGAATTATTAAATTCAGATTTATTAGAAAACAAAGGCAGGATTCTATTTATTTGAAATGAGTTTTTTAAATTATATCATCTGTTCATAAATATAATTTATATACATAAGGGATGCTTACCATTCATATAGCTGAAACTAATATATCAGTAACCTGAATACCATGTCAATTTTGTGTAAATGCATTTGATGTCTTGAGTTTGACATAATCATATTTCAATATAGAATTTGTATCAATGATAGAGGTGAGAGAGACTAAATCATAATGGAGATAAAAACTATGTTCATTTCTTTCTAGAATTGTAACAACGAGAAGTCCCAGTTTTGTTACATACAATCTTACACACATTTTTTATATATACTTAATTACTGTTTGTTTTTTTTTTTAAGATTTATTTATTTATGCATATATAGCTGGGGTACAGGCCAGAGGTACAGGGGTGGTGAGAGGATTCACCAGAGACAGAGTGGGGAGCAGAACAGGCAGATTGATGAAGGGGATCAATGAATGGGTCAGGACAGGTCTCTCATGCCATGTGTGTCACCTCTCATGCTGAGTGGATTTAGCTTCTTAGTGCTGTGCTGTAACCCACTGTGCAACCAGGGAGGGCCCCTATACTTAATTATTTTATGAACACATTTTGAAAAAAAATATTGTTCAGAATATATCATAATTGAACATTGTCCTTCTCTTGAGATAACAACTAAATGTCTAGTTTAGTTGTTAGTATCTACTTCTTAAGTGAATTTATGTTCTTGCTAGAATATACAGGTATTTAAAAAATCTGTTCACTTTTCCTTCTCCCCTCCTCCAGCTACTTTTCATGTTTTCTGTCCTGTTGGTGACACTTTTCAGGTTGACCTGGCTGTGCAGCTGTCACCCTTTCCCTATGGAACCAGTCTATTTTCAATTTTACTGCTTCCACCTGTCTTATTATCACTTCCTCACTGGCCCCCTTAAATGCCGTATCAACCCTTAATACTTACTCTTACCTTTCTTAGCCTCTGTTGTATTTTGCTTCTTGACCCTGGTAAAACCCATCTCTCCACTGTAACCACATCTGAACCATTTTTAAAGTTCATTCCACCAGAAGTGCTTTAGAAAAACCTTACCCTTTATAAGCTCAATTTATAATATGTCCCTCCATAATTTTCCTCCAACTTGATGACTCAAAATGTTGCAGGCAAAAGTCAGTTCTCTCTTATCAAAAATGCTATCAAGTATTTTGCAGAAGTTAGGAGATTTCCTCTTTTTTTTTTTTTCCTCTGAAAATATTCTTAAGGAAACCCCCACATCGCATGTTTGCCCTTTGATGATTGTCTGGAAGATTGATAGTGTTGACTGAATCTTCTGTATTTTGCTGATCCTTAATGATCAGCAGTCACACTATATGTCTGTGTATCCCATTCAGTCATGATTTTCTATAATTCATTATTTTTTTTTTGCAAGTGCTTCCAAGTTCTTTTCGCTTATATATTGTTCTTTTTGGTCACCAGAATCTTGTGGAAGCTGCTACTCATTCGCATCTATGGGTATGCTGGAAGCAAGAATCCGAATCCTAACCAACAATTCTCAGACTCCAATCTTAAGTCCTCAGGAGGTTGTGTCTTGCAGCCAGTATGCACAAGGTAAGTATTGTATTTCAGGCACTCTTTGCGTAAGCATAATTGGACTTTGTTAGCAGAGACAAAAGACTGTATAGTAAGCGAGGGCATTGTTTGCAGTCAGAAAAGCTGGGTGCAATTTCTGACCCTGTCATTTACGAGTGGATGTCTTCTTGTGATGCTCACTGCACCATCCAGCTATATGTCAGTAGTTACTACATATTGAATGAGTGCTGGCTCTTATGTGCCTCTTTACAGACTCAAAACCCTGAGAAGTACAGACCTTATCCTTCTTCACAGAACATACATGAAGATGTTCTACAATATTTTGAAGGTCACACAGCTTCAAAGCATTAAAGTTTCAGTACCAACTAAGGTCTCACTCCAAACCTAACTCCTATTAAAACCATACCAATATTTCTAGGAGAATTTGCATGTAATATATGCAGAATATCCAGCTGCAGTTGATTCAAGAACAAATTCCCTTTTTTAAGTTTTCTGTTATCAAGTCTATATTTGGCCACTAGAATTTCTTGGCTTATAAATAAAAGTGCTGGAAAGATTATTGGTCTATGAGCTGATTATTCTTTCTGAAATTCTTACTAAGCAGTGAAATTCTTACTAGCCCACAAAATGTACCAAGACAGCCAGTATTCTCCTGAAGCCTACAATTAAGTCATAAGAAATTAATCATAAGAAATTAATCATAATGAAGAGGGGCCTCTCTCATGGCCTAGCGGTTACATTTCAGTGTTGTCACTGCTATGGCCTAAGTTTGATCCCTGGCCTGAGAGCTAGCCTACATATGGTGCAGCAGATGTTTCCTATCTAGCCTGCTGCTCCCCTCAGTAGTGTATTTCAGTGGGTCTGCCAGTTTTGCTCTGCACTCTTTCTCTGGTGAACCCTCTCACCCCACCACTGGCCTATGCCCCAGTTGTCCTATGCAGAAATAAAAATCTTAAAAAAAAAAAAAAGGAGTAGTGAAGAGCAAGTATGTGGTACAATAAGGCCTGTGCTGTCGGAAGGAGAGCCCTGGCTGGAGGTGGTCAGTACTTCACGGGAAGAGCTGCAGTAGCTGTCGGAGTACAAAATAATGACAACCACAAGGAACTTGTATTGTTCTTATATGGAGTAACTAAGTTGATTCTATTAAAAAAGGTACTACTGGTTATCTGTATTTTATAGACATGTCAATAGAAGCACAGAGAAGTTACATTTCTCACAAAGGTTTGGATTTCAACTTACACAGTAAGATTTTTGAGCTTCTCCAATTAACTTTCTACATCAAGGGTAACAAATACCTGTTAAATAGAAGGGAATGAGAGACTGCTTAGCTCAAAGGCAAATAACTGGATGAATGAAGTAGCATTGAAGCTAAGAACAACTTCTCGGGGTAACATAAAGAAGTAATGGGGTAGAAAAAATATGATGTGAGATAATTTCTTCTGTTCCCCTTTCAAATAGTGAGATAATAACTGCATGTTTCTCATCCTCAGGCTGTGAAGGTGGCTTTCCCTACCTCATCGCAGGAAAGTATGCTCAAGATTTTGGGCTGGTGGAAGAGTCCTGCTTTCCCTACACAGCCACTGATTCACCATGCAAACCAAGGGAGGAATGCATCAGATACTACTCTTCTGAGTATCACTATGTGGGAGATTTCTATGGGGGCTGCAATGAAGAGCTGATGAAGCTTGAGCTGGTCCATCATGGGCCCCTTGCAGTAGCCTTAGAAGTCTATGATGACTTCCTCCACTACCGCAGTGGGATCTACCACCACACTGGACTGAGAGATCCTTTCAATCCCTTTGAGCTAACTAATCATGCTGTCCTGCTGGTGGGCTATGGCACCGATGAGGCCTCTGGGCTGGATTACTGGACAGTTAAAAACAGCTGGGGCACCAGCTGGGGTGAGAATGGTTATTTCCGGATCCGCAGAGGAATTGATGAGTGTGCAATTGAGAGCATAGCAGTGGCAGCCACACCAATTCCAAAATTATAGGGTGTACCTAATCGTACCTGTGCGCTGGCAGCCATCAGTCATGAAAGGGGATTGAATTATTTACATACTTGAGACTTACAACAGCAATTTCAGAAGGCTATGCATAGAATCCTATGAAGATTTTTGCCTTAAAATTAAAACTGCTTTTCGTTTAAATATGCCTTCCCCTCAACCACTGACCTACTTTTTCTAAGTAGTCAGAGTTTTTACATATGATGGTGAGGGTAAGATATACAAGAATGGACTTTGCTAATTTGTAATTCAAACAGATGTATTTTTAAAATCTATGTGAAAGTACATACTTGTTTTTAAAAATTTGTATAAAACAAATTATGATGATTAATTTTTTAAAGTTTGTAATAAAAGTTTAGGTGATACATATTAAAACAACTTTTGTTAAAGTTTGTTGTTTACATGTCCACTTTATTTTAGGGTTAGATTGTTACTTTTCCATATGTACAATATATGCACACAATTTTCTTACCCTCCACTAAGCCTCCCCTGCTGATGTCCTATCGCTTTCTTTCCCCAATACTCTCGTTCCTCCTCTCTGTCCCCACTGGTAACTAGTACATCTTTTACTAAGTCATAGATCTGTTATCTTCTGTATTTTACCATATGTGTTTGTTAATTTATATTTCATAGATAAATGAAACCATCCCAATAGCTCTCTTTCAATAATTTACTTCATTTAGCACAACCATTTCAAGATACATCTATTTTGCCCCCTTCAGTTACTATTTTATCTTTATTAACAGCTGAGTAGTTGTCTATTGAAGAGATATGCCACAATTCCTTTAACTAGTCCTGTCAGTGGGTACTTAGGTTGGTTCCAGGACTTGACAATTGTAGACAGAATTGCAATAAATGTAGGAGTAGTTAAGTCTCTTTGATTTGGAGTTTTCATGTTTTGGTAAATTAATACCTACCAGAGTAATTGCTAGATCCTGTAAAATTTCAATTTTTATTAAAAAATCTCCATACCATTTCCATAGAGGCTGCATCAACTTGTTTTCCTACAAATAGTAGATGAGTTCCTTTTTCTCCACAATCTTTCCAATATTTGTTGTTTTCATTCTTTTTGATAGGGGCCATTTTCACAGGTGTGAGATGATATTGTGGTTTTGACTCTTCCTTTTTAATTTCAAACATTTTTGAACAATTGTGTACCTGTAGGCCTTCTGAAAGTCTTCCTTAGGAAAAATGTCTGTTTAGAACTTCACCTCATTTTTTTAAATAGGGTTGTCTGTTTTGCTGTCTTCGGATTGCAAAGTCCGTTGTATATTTTAGAAAGTAACAGCTATTTTTAGAACTTAACATCACACATAGGTGATGTGCTTGTATTCTCTGCCAGTCTGTAAGTTGTCATTTTGTATTTTTCATGGTTTCCTTTTTGGTATGAAGCCTTTTTATTTGTTGTAGCCCCTCTTGTTAATTTTGTTTCTGTTGGAGTTTCCTGTTCCACTATGCAGTAGATGTCTTCTAGTATATCCCATTTCAAGATGTTGTGGTTTCAGGTTTTTGTTTTTTAAAAGATTTATGTATTTATGCGTATGCAACTAGGGTACAGGCCAGAGGTGTGGGGGTGAGAGTATTCACCAGAGACAGAGTGGGGAGCAGAACAGGCAAACTGAGTGAAATACACTTCTGAGGAGAAGTGGGTGAGACGGGAGAACTCTGCCACAACATGTTTGGTTGTCACCTCCTTGGTTGGAGATTGAACTCATTGCAAAGGCTGCAGATAGCTTCATAGTGCTGTGTTTTAACTGTTACACCACCAGGGAGGACCCGCTCCCATCATGTCCCTTGGCCAGAAAATATATATTTCTGGCCATACTCTCTTCACATCCTCTCTTTCCTCAACTCTACATGAAGGTTTGAACTTAGTACAAGTTCTCCATGGAAAAGCTGAAAAGCTATCAGAAAATACTGAATATATTTTTTAAAATTTGTTTATACACAGAACTGGGGTATAAGCCAGAGGTGCAGGGGCAGAGAGAGGATTCACCAGATACAGAGTGGGGAGCAGAACAGGCCAACTGGCAAAGTACACTGCTGAGGGGAGCAGCAGGCAAAATAGGAGGCCTGCTGCACCATGTGGATCCCCTCAGGATGGAATTCACACTGAAGCTTGCAGTGCAGCATCCTAGCACCGTGTGCCACAAGGGAGGTACACTGAATATTCTTTTGAGCATTTTTTAAATTTAGTTTCTTACAGCGTTGTTGATGTTTGCACAGTATTTGGTTTCTCCCCTCAAAAGTAGTCCCCATAGTTCTCCCACCACCACAGCATCTACAGTCAATCACCACAGTCCTTTGTGCTCTTCCCTCTCCTGTTTTGACTCCTCTCCTGTCCCTTCCTCCACTGTATGCCTCAGATCTATGGTCAGCTTGCATGTTTTGCCTTTTTCCTGACCCTCTGTTCAATTTCTCTATACTCCACACACGTAAGTGAAACCATCTGATACTTATCTTTTTCCTCCTGGCTTATTTTGCTTAACATAATTCCAGTTTCATTCATATTCCTGAAAATAGCATGAGATTATTTTTCTTTTCGATCACTGAGGGGTATGCTATTGTGTATATATACTACATCTTGATCTCTTCATCTTTTTGGGGGGGAGGGGCATTTGGGTTGTTTCTTTTGAGCAAGTTGTTTTGTAATATGTAAGCTTAGGGGAGGTGATCCCAACCCCTCTATTAGGCTATGATGTGAGTGAAGTCCTTGCATTATAGAATTTATGAAATTTTATCATTGGTTATTTAAGAGTCTCATTTTACTTATGGAACATTTTGAGGGAAGAAAAAAAAAAGCACTTGAATGCATTTCCATTAAAGATAAAGCTATATATAAAACTATGAACCTTTATGTTATGGAGCATATTCAAATAGTCACTAGTAACCCTAAAGTCATCCCCTAGATATATTGATAAGACAGGAATCATAGATAAAAGAAAGTACTGGTAAATCTCTGGATATGTTTAAAACTTTCTTATACTATATCTAGTAATGGAACTATCAACTAACATTCATTTGGTGAGCAATAATAGCTTAATTCGTGAATATTATCGATTTAAGTTTGAACAGATTTCTGGGATGTCCAAGAGATATTTCACCATAATCTGGAACCCCTATGAAGAGCAAACATGACATCTATTAGAAATGATTAGGTGAATTTGGGCAAACTAGGCAGTCAAAGCTCTAAAGCCTAAGAAAAAAACCACAAACTTTATGAAATTAGAAAGAACTACAGAGATCATATTAGATAAATTGTGACCAAGTGTGCTTATGAACCCCAAATTCAAGGGATGTGTGCTGGGGCCCTGCTATCTATCTTCATTCTAAAGGCAAAGCAAGTTGATGTTTCAAGTGAAAGATCAGCAGAATTAATGTGTATAGAAAGAGTCTATTCCTAACAATAACTCCTCAATAAAACACTCAAAATTACCCATCCCATCATGGACAATTGGCAAAAACAGATTCTGTGGGAATACTGAGGCCCAAATACTTGTCTATTTTGGTGGCAAACCACAGGAAGGGTCCCAAAGGAGCCAGAGAGATAGAAGGAACAAATTAATGGTACAAATCAAGATAATGGCTTCCATTGACTCTGGTAAGGACAGTCTTTGTGTTTGTTCTCATTCATGTGTCTTTTAAGTCTTTCCACCTGTCTCCCTCATACATTTTCTCCCATTTTCCACAAGTGAAACTCAAAACTGGAGTAGAAAGAGCCCTATTGTAAACTGGCCTATCTTCTATACGATATAGCTTCACCTGGCTGCTGAGCTCAACCCCTAGGCACCTGTCAAGGTGGTTTGCATGTTAAGTGTACCTCCCCTAACAATCATGCAATCTAACATTTATTTGCACAGAAAATGAGACTATCACATAAGATGAAGACCAATGATTTGTTCAGGCTACGTAATTAATAAGTAACAAACTATTAGAACCTAAATCTTACATAGTTCTCCTTGATATCTTAGACAATGAACTTCAGCACTTTCTAACAGACTTTCCATAATGATAAACTCTAGGTATATACTTTAACATGCTAAGTCTCAGAGCTTTGCCTTAAACCTTATAAACTTATTCTCATTACAATTCACTATGATAGTTTACATGAACTGAAGTGGTACCCTAAGAGTTTCCCCACATTTAAGGTGTGGCTTCTTGGGCCTCCTGGAAAGTTTTCACATATCTTTGACCTTCCCACCACAGGGTGACAAAAAAGTAGACAACAGGAATAGCAGGCTTAGTCAGGGCCCTTATCATCTGGAAGATCGCCAAAGAAATTAATTTTGTTATTGCTAATGATTGAAAGTAATTCCATTCCAACTTTGTATCTGAACTTGTTGCTATGTGAAATTGTAAATAGACTCTGAAATCAAGTATGGATTTATTTTATTCAAATATGAAAGATAGCTGTTGTCATTACCTAACAGGTAAGATTTTATTTAACATATAAGCATAAGCTTACACTTTTTTTCTTGAGCAGTCAGCCAAGTGACATGTGAGAGCAAGTCATGACCACACAGAGCACCCAGGCTCCCACACTATTTCAGGAGAGCCCTGTTTGGGCTCTGAAAGAAAATCATTCCTGGTATCATTCACTAAACCCTTTAGGAAATTCTGAAAACCTAAATGTAGCTGTAATTCTGACACTGGGAAGTAGTTCTCATGTGCATGATTAGTTAAAAACAAGGAAGGGTTTGGGGAGGGCATACATTTTCAGAGATTCTTAGAAGATTGCTTAGAATAAGAACTAAGTTCAACCCACAGTTTTCTACTGGGAGAATGCTTGTTCTGTTCCTACATGATAGAACATTATTTTATCCACAGTTGCACAATTCACCAGAAATGACTAAAGTCAGTGGGTTGAACTGTTAAGCTATGCATAAAGCAAGTTTTACTGTCTAAAATATGTCTTAGATCAGTGCTAATAGAGTATATAATCAAAATATGTTGACAAATTGAGTTCTAGAAAAAATGAAAAGGGAACTCTGGCCTACCTCCCCAAAGCGATTCCTAGAAAAACAACAGTGAGTCTATGCATGAATCAGGACACCACTTACAAAAGGAAATAAAGTTTAGCTGGATAGTCTAACACTGGCTTATACTGACTTTGGTGCCCTAATGCCTAGATTAGGATTCTGGCCCTACTACTTATTTAATTTCAGTAATGAAATTTTAGGCATTTCCCTTATAACTACCTGTGTGTCGGTCTCCTTACCTCCAAAATGGAGAAAAGCTTCTTGCCTGCCTGAACTCATCCTCCCCTATCCCTTGCTATTGCAACAAAATAAACAAATGCATTTGTACATTTGT